AAAACTTCCTTGTGTCCACTCTCCTGTGTCCAAGATGTAGTCATTTCCTACTGTAATGTACACTCAGAGCTCCTTGCACGTCACAGCTCAGCTGGTAATTATACTCCTGTGAGGCTGAGTGATACCTGCCTCCCGGCCCAGATTACGAGCTCTGTGGAGGCCGGGCCTGTTTTGTCATCATTGTATCCTCAGTGCCCAACCCACTGCCTACGCATGTAGGTACAGTGGAGTCTATACATGAAGGGATGAATCTGGAACCCTGGTTATGATGAGGCCCAGCCTGTTACCTTGACTTTTCCTAGCTGCACAGCTGCTTAGGTCAGAGTCTCCACCCACCCCCCTCACCCTCCAGTCTTGTATCCCCTGCAAGCAGCTCAGGGACACTTAACAGGACACAGCTCCTCAGAGAAGAGAAGGATAGTTTTCCCATGAGACCAGCAGGGAAGGGGGGCTGAGACCCAGAAGTCTAGAAGGGTGATTCAGGCCGGCAGAAGCAGCTTGATGAATCAGGAGAGGAGGCAGGGGAGAAGGAGGGTTACTCTGGATTAAAAGCTCTAAGAGGAGTGATTCATGATCATTGCGGCTGACATTTCAAAAGCCCCAAATACTTTTGGTAACCAGTGTGCGGCTTTGCATTTTGCCTCGCGTTTATCCTGGGAATGGAGCAGCCCCTAGCTGCTCTGGGGTATATCATATTTCACTTTCTGCTTCTCAAGCAGCAATGATGTTTGGTTCCTCAGTTTCCCGCACGTAACTTGTTACTGCCAGACTTTATTTTCGTGGAAGCTCTTCCACAGTTGGGACAAGCTGGCCTTTGGTGTCAGACAGGGAAGAGTTTGTAACCTGGTTGCGCCATCTGCTATCTGTGTGACCTAGGGCAAGTTACTTAACCTCTCTGAGCCTCCCTTTCCTCTCCAATAAAGTGAGGGTGATAATGCCAACCTCCAAGGGCTTTGGGGAGGTTTAGATGGAGATGCTTCTGTGTAGTGTGAGTTCAGGTTTAGCTGAAGCTGTGGCAGGGAGGGAGAGGGCGCTGTGTGAGGGAGGAGAAGGGGAGAAGCCACAGGACTCGGTATCTCTCCCTTCTGCCCAGGGTGGGCACGAGTCTGAGCTCCCAGAGACACTCTGTGGACTCAAGTTGGAAGGGCTCCTTGCCCAGATATAAACTCTAGGAGATACAGGACACGGGCAGTGTGGCTTCAGGGCCTAGGAGACAATGTGACACATTGTGTGTGTGTGTGTGTATGCACGTGTGTGTGTGTGTGTGTGTGTATTTGCATGTGTACAGTGGGGTATGTGAAGGAAATATAGGCTGATGGACCAGCCCGATTTGCCTAGGACTAGGGATTCCCCAGGACACAGGTCTTTCAGGACGGTCTTGGGTGAACAGAGAGCTGGTTGATCACCCTGGAAATGTGACTTTTCCCCATTCTCTCGGAGCCCATGTCTGGTCACCCTGGATGTGTGCCTTGTCCCCGGTTGCCCGGAGCCTGGAGGAGCTTTGGCACACCGAGGACCCCAGGGCCTCAGCTTTCCAGCACCGGGAGTCAGTGCCAAGGCCGCAGAGACAGGGATAAGGATGGGGTGACCTCACTGCCTCACCTCAGACCCCTCTGCAGACACTCCCAGAGATAACTGGATGGCGCTTTGCAGGAGGCTCGAGGGCTGCTTTGGTAGAACGGGAAGGGCCAGAAAATGTGGGTTCTGACTACCACGGTGAGCCCGGCGAGGTCTGGAGAAACTTGCTTCCATGTAATGGCCAACCCGGTACCCACCACTTAATGTAATTTTTGTCATTGTCTGATTGGTTATCGATCGTCCACAGCACCACTGCTTTACTTTGAATCTGGCCACTTTAGAGGAATCTTTTATCTTAATAACTGTTGAGTTGATTTTTAAGTATCTTGGACAGCAGCTATGTTATCTGCTATTAATGATGAATGTCACCTCCAGGCACAGCATCTGTACTCTAATTTCTAAGTCATGCCTCATTGCACTTCTCAGAACATCCAGACAGCATTGGATAATAGCAGCCACGACTGCTTGCCCTTTGTTTTCCGATTCCATTTTATGCTCAAGGCAAGGGCTCCTCGGTCTTAGGACAGACACTCTCTAGAAGTAGACCCACTAAGTCTCAGCCTTGGAAAGCTTTCTAGTGTTTCACTAGATTTCAGGATTAAATATCCTGAAAGCTCTTGGCTAGAAATAAATACACTTTACTATATTAAAGAAGCATCTTTCTATTTTTAAATGAGTCTTTATAGGGGTGCCTGGGTGACTTAGTCAATTAAGTGGCCAACTTCAGCTGAGGTCATCATCTCGTGGTCTGCGAGTTCGAGCCCCACATTGGGTTCTGTGCTGACAGCTCAGAGTCTGGAGATTCTGTGTCTTTGGATTCTGTGTCTCCCTCTCTCTCTGCCCCTTCCCCACTCATGCTCTGTGTCTCTGTCTCTCAAAAACAAACATCAAAAAAATTTAAAAGAGTCTTTATAAAGGATGGTTATTGGGTTTGATTGAAGACTTGCATTGGCCATGGTTCTAAAATATCTCAGTGTCTTTGTCTTTAAAATGAGGGGAGGGGGAGGGGGTGCCTGGGTGGCTCAGTGGGTTAGGTGTCTGACCTCCGCTCAGGTCATGATCTCTCAGTCCATGGGTTCAAGCCTCGCCTTGGGCTCTGTGCTGACAGCTCAGAGCCTGGAGCCTGCTTCAGATTCTGTGTCTCCCTCTCTCTCTCCCTGCTTGCTCTGTGTGTGTGTGTGTGTGTGTGTGTGTGTGTGTGTGTGTGTCAAAAGTAAATAAACATTAAAAAAATTTAAATGAAGGCGGGGTAGAGGACCAGGAGGGTAACGGTAACCAGCTTAGGGGGCTGGTACGAGGAATAAGTGAGCTCACGCAGGTGCGGTGCTGAGTAGAGAGCCGGTCACAGTGAGGCTGGCAGCTGTCACAGCTGTCCCAGGTCCCATTCCAGGGCTGTCTCGACACTGCTCTCCTCCTCCTGTGGTCCCGCTTCTCCCGTATTCCTCTCCTCAGGGAGGGGTGACCAACAGGGATCTCCGCCTCAGAAGCCAAACGCTTTTTTAGATGGAGTTTGGCTAAGAGCCACGGGCTGGTGGTTGGGAGGCTGGGTAGGTTGGGATGAGCCCCTCCCAGGGAAAGACCCGGAGCTTGAGGACCTCGGGGGTCCTGGCCGTGTGACCTCAGCTGTCACCTGAGCCTCTGAGGCCTGTTTCCTGAGGAGATGGTCTCTGGGGCCTGTCCCACCCACGGGGGTGGTAGAGGAGGCCCAGGACTGAATGCGGGTTGGGGGCTCTGGGTCCGGGGACGAGACAGGTGAGGACTGTCGTTCTGAAATAACAAAGTGAGCTGCAGGAGGAGACCCTGTGAATTTCTCCTGGGACACCCGATTCCTCCCACACACTCCCCCATGCTTCTCTCCTCTACGTGCACCTGAACAGTGCATTTTTAGAAGCGGTAGACAGGACCAGTTACAGAACTCGTGGGGCCCACTGCAAAATGAAAATGTGGGATTCCTCATTCAACAATGATAAAGATGGTGACCGCTGAGCATTATACCAAGAGTGGGGACCTTTCTGAGCACAGGGCCCTGTGACTCACAGGTATCACACCCATGAAGCCAGCCCTGGGAGTAGGGACAGACACCCCAGGACACTCAGTAATAGAAATTTGGGACAAGAAACTTCCATGGAGTAGCAGTAACCAACATAGTCACAGGGCTGTGACAATGGAAGCCAGGGCTCCCAGAGCCATAGTTTTAGCATCAGAGCGAAGCTTGTCTGCAGGGCCAAGGTGTCAGGATGGAGACACGATCGTAGTGGCATCTGGGACTGTAGTATCTGTGTCTGTGATGCTCCCCTTGCCCTTCTTGTCTTTTGAGGAAATTAACCAATAAGTACCCACTTTTGCTAACCTAGGTGGAGTTGGCATTTCTGATATTTACAATCAAAGTTGGCAGTTTTAAGAGATCTGGGCTTTATCATTGGTGGGAAAGGATCTGACCCCCTTACCTAGTGGGAAAGGGTGGATGGAGCCAAGGAACAGGGCATGATGGCATGTGGGTACTGGAGACAGAGCCCTTTGTGGGAAATGAAGCAGCCTGCGATTCCGCGTCATTTTGGGGAAGGGCGTCACATTGGGTTGTTAATCCCAGACTCTAGGTGAACTACAGTACCAAGGTCTGGAGCCAAGTGGGGGCGAGAAACGCAGGTGCACACCTAAATTCTGGAGGAAGAGAACGGAGTTCTGGGGACTTAGTCCTCGCCATTGTGGCCCCTAGGGGGCGCTCCTCCCCCCTTTCAGTTCTGGCCTAACAGTAGTCATTCATGAGAAAGGCTGAGGTCCTTGTCTGCAAAAGGCTGGGACAATGAAATATACTTTACTAAATCTGTGGGAGTACCAAGAGAGAGAAAGGGAAGGGAGCCCTGTGAATCTGGAGATGACCAGGAAGGGCTTGCATCTGGGGCTGGCTGGGTCACCTCTTATCCAGGGGCGGAAGGGGGTATCCAGGGAGTTCCCCTTCTCAAGCCTTCAGCTTTGGCTAGGTTCTTGCTATGTTTTCATCCCTTCTGGAGCTGGGATAGGGTGGGACATACCTTTTGACCATGCAATTCAACTTTTAGGAGTCCATCCTACAGAAAAAGATATATTTAAGGACATTCACTGCAGCTCTGTCTGGGATACTGTAATTTGTGTGCTGAGTGTGTGTGTGTGTGTGTGTGTGTTTGCACACGTGCGCACATGTTTAACATAGAAACAGGTCTGGAAGCATATGGTTGAAATGTAACAACAGGGAAGGAAGGAAGTGGGGAAGGAAGAGAGACTTTCCTTTGCCTCTGCACACTTTATATGCTCCTGCTTAGTTTGATTTTTAAAAATTATTTTCCTAGCATGTATTCATGTGTAACTTATAGAATGTATAATTTAAAAATGACATTTTGAAAAAGTCATATCACACAAAGATTTGAAAGAGAAATTAACTGGATGAAACGTGATGCATAGGTTTGTAGGGAAATCGATCCTCATGGTGATTTCACGCCCTCCTTCCAGAGGTTTCCAGCAGTCCGGGGTAGGCCTGGAGGAGGGTGGTGTCGAATGGGCCTGGGGGAAGGCAGTGAGCTAAGGAGTGCACAGAGGCTTAGTAGTTGTTCTGGGCATTTGACATCAGTTAGCCTGTTTAATCTCTGCGGGGTAGATATCGCGAATCCCAGATTTACAGGGGAGGAAAGCAGCTCTGAGCGATGACAAACGGCAGGGCTGGGAGTCAGGCGCTGGGAGTCAGACGCCAGAGCACAGGAGCTCTCCGCTTGCGGCTGCTTCCAGCCCAGTTCAGTGGGGAAGGCGAGGAGGAAGGGAAAGGGAGGACCCAGATAGGGAGTGCGGGCAGCACAGTTTTGAATGGCTGACCCATCTGGGTGCAAAAGGCAGTAAGGCAAGGAAGGGGGACTGGCTGAAGAGGGTTCGGCTGTGTTGGAGGAGGTGTGGGAACAGAGAAGACACAGATGTTAGGTAAGCTGTGCAGAAATCCACGCTTTCCCATCTCTAACGGCCAGGGGGTGGGCTGTGGGCACCTGCGCAGAGTCGCCTGGGAATGACGGCGGTAGGGAGAGACGCTGGGCCTAGGTACCTGCACCTTGGTTCCTCTCTCTTCCCAGCCCACCGACCTCCTGCCTGGCTCTAGGAGTAAGAACCGAAGTAGACCTTCAGCTGCAACTCTGAGCCTTGTGAGGGCCAAGCAGCTGTGCGGTGGGGGGCACACTGGATGGAAAGGATTGGGGATACTGGTGCAGAACTTTGAGGCGCCCCCATGGCTGGTATGGCGGGGGTTGCCTCTCCTCCAGCAGGATCGGGATCGTGAGACAGGATCAGGAGCTCCTTAGATATCTCCCCGTGATGGGATTCTTCGTAGGGGCGCGTTTCCCTGCGCCCACTCTGCTGCCCCCCCGCCCCGCAGGGAAACGCAACCCAAACCCCCTAATTGGCACACAGGGCTCAGAGGAGTTTCAAGGCTGGGCTAGGGCACCCAGGTGCTGCCTGCGAAGGGAGGGGCCCGAGAGGGCAGGAAGCCTGGAGCCTGAGAAGGCAAGGTCAGTGCCTGGAGTCGTCAAGGCCCCGGGGGGGGGGGGGGGGGGGGGGTGGAGGGGGGGCTGGGGGGGACGCACAGCAGGGGGCGTGCGATAGCCTTTCCCGCACTCTGGCGGTTCAAAGCGTTCTCTTCATGAAATCCTCTTTATTTAGAAGCGTCCAGATGATGCCCGGAAAAGTAACCTTCTGAAATCTGCAGAACAGAGGCAAAAAACACTCTACAGTTTAGGTGGAGTAACGGGTGATAGTAAGACTCTTTTCCTGTGTCTTTCAAGACATCATTGGGCCGGTGGTACTTTTCTAAGGTAGGGAGGGCGTGACTATAATTCCTGCTTACCGCGCCTGAATCCGATAACGGAGTCACGTGCCAGGGGTTGGGGCAGCCCTGCTAAAGTGGGCTGCTAGCACCCGGCCGCCCTCGGGTCACCCGGCCTTTCGGCCCCGCCGCCGCCGTCGGGAAACCCCAGTGGGCACCTCGCGCCCGGAAGACTGCGGCTCCAGACGCGCCGGGCGTGCGGATCCCGGGCGCCCTGAGGCTCGGGCGGCGCCGGGGATCCGGCGCCTGAGCCGGAGCCGCCGTCCCAGCGCCGCGGCAGGGACTCCGGTCCGGAGTTCGCTTCCGGGGCTTCACAGCTGCCCGCCCGAGGCGTGAGCGGCGGCTTCTCTGGGTCGCGGCGGGGCCGCTTTAGGAAAGGTGTGGAAGGCGGGAGAGGAAAGGAGGGGGTCGGCCTCGCTGGGGTCTCCCCGCACCGGGAGCCACACGGAGGGGGAGAGTGAGGGCAGGCCCGAGGTGGGCCGCTGCGGGGTACGTGATGGACACCCAGGGGCGTCGTCCTCCAAAGGACTGGGGTTGGAGCCTCAGGCACAGAGACGTTATGTGACTCGCCCAAGGTCACACAGCGAGCTAGTGGGGGGTGTGTGTGGGGGGTGAGCTGCCGTTCTGACAGCGCCTCACAGGCCCCGCTCTGCACGGCTGTGCCCGCAAACGGGAGCCTTTGGAGTTCTGGGCACCGGGAGAGGAGGAAAGCGCCCTCCGCCTGCCGCGCGACGTAGCTTCTGGCCGCCACCGTCTCCGGGTCGCCAGTGCAGCCAGGCATTGGCGCTCCAGGTCTGCGCGAGCGAGCGAACGCACGGGCACTGCGGCCCCGGCTTAACGCCCGGACCCCACGCGCCCGGACCCGGAGTTGGGGCGCCTTACTAGCCCCCCCCCGCCACCCTCCCCCCAAACGGAGGTCCTCCCACCGCCTCGTTAGTGAGTGCGATGTCCAAGGCTCATCTGACCGAAGTCAAGCAGCTGCTACCTTGCGGAACCGGGATTCGAACCCAGCGCTGTGGATTTTCGTGGCCTCAGGCCCGGGGCGGCGGTGTGCCCTTGGGCCAGTCGCTTTCCTGCTCCCCGCAGCCCCGCCGCGCGCCCGCTCCCGTCGCAGCCGCGCATGCTCAGTCTTCCGCGGCGCCGGGAGGTGGCGGCGGGCGCCCCGGCTGCTTTGCATTGACGCCAGCACCCGCTGGAGGTCACCGCTGGGGGCTGGGCGCGGCGTGCTGCCGCCAAGACCCGGAGCCGGAGCCGGGGCCGGAGCCGCGCCGCCAGCAGCCGACGGGCGAGCGCCGCCGCTTCTGCGCTTCTCGACGGCGCGGCCCCAGCCCCGGCCGGAGGCGGCGGCTCCGTCCCCACCCGGCCGGCCGCGGCCTCGCCGCCCCGACGGGCGTCCTTCGACCCCCCCCGCCCCCCACCCCGCAAAGGCAGGAGCGTGCGGGCCAGCCTTCCCCGCCAACGGCGCTCGGGCCAGGGGCGTTTCTTTGCGGGGCGGCGGCCCAGCGGGCGGAGCGGCGCGGGCCGCGGGCGGCGGGCGCGGCGGGGAGCGCTACCTCCCCCGGGGGTCGCGCCGCCTCGCGGCCGGGGCGGCGTCGCCCGCGCGGACTTGCCCGCTCGCGGGCTGGGAAGAGCGCAAATCTCCTCCCCCGAAATTCCCCGGAAGCGCGGCGCGGCCGGGCGAGCGCGGCGATGTGAGGGAGGCGGCCGGCGGCTCCCGCCTCAGGAAGGGCATGTTCGCAGGGGCGGCCGCGGCGTGCCGCCCGCCCCAGCGCCCCCTCCCCAGCGCCGCCGCCGCCGCCGCGCCCGCACCGCGATAAAAGGGGCGGCCGCACTTCCTGACGCGAGACCCGCGCTCGCCGCCGCCGCCGCCCGCCCAGGCGGCGATGACACGGCGCCCGCGGCGGCCCCGAGGCGCCGGGCGGGCCGTTTGCTGACCGGATCGCGGCTGCCCGCCAGCGTGTCCGCCGCGCCGCCGCCAGCATGGGCTGCGCCCCGAGCATCCCCGTTTCCGAGGGCCGGGCGGCGTACCACGGCGGCAAGGAGGCCGAGGACGCGCCGGGCGCGGACGCGCCGCCGCCCGCCGGGCCGCGCCTCCCTCCCGGCCCGAAGACCACCGCCTCGCCCGGGGCCCGCGGCGCCGGCCTCGCGGAGTCCGAACCTCGCGAAGGCGGCGGCAGGAAGGTGAGGGGCGCCGGGCGGGCGGCCGGGGCTCGGGGGCTGCGGTCCGCGGCGGAGGTGGGGCCCGGCCGGGCGGGGCGCCCTCCGGGGCTGCGGTGCCCTCCCGCGCGGCTTTGGGTGGCTTTGACGGGCGCCGGCGCCCGCCTGCCCGGGGCAGCGTTCCGCGGGCAGACGGAGCCGCGCGTCCTCGGACCGTCTTCGGCAGGGCTGCGATCGGGACGCCCTCCGGGCCGCGGCGTCGGTTCGCGGGACCCGTGCGAAGCCTCAGCTGGCAGGGCCCGCCGCCGTGAACTTGACCGGGGCGCTCGAGGCTGTTCCCCGTTCTGGGGAGGGGAACCCCCGGGGTATGGTGGCGCGCCCCAGAAACGTTAAATCAGCGTGAACTTTGTTCTGTGGGTTCTCGTGATGGAGAGGGAAGGGCGGCCAGCTCCGGGAAGCCGAGGCGCTGGATCCTGCCACCCTGTTTTGCTTTCCCTCTGTCAGCTCTGCAACATGCATGCAGTTGCAATTTCCCCGTTTCTTTGGGACTCTTAATATGTAATCTGAAGCCACATCAGCTCTGCCTCAGTGCACACGTATTTGAGGTTCACGGTTATTAGCATACGTGTTGTATTTAAAGCATATGTAATGAGAAAATACTATCAGAGACGCGAGTTTTGAAGCATTCAGCAGAACAAAGTTAATTTTTTATTAAGTAGTCTTACAAGGACATTTTGGGACTGTTTATCAGAATTGTGTGTTTTCTCCGACGCCTTATCGCCTTGGCTCCTGTTTTGTCAAAGTTTCTGGGCTTTAGTGTTTGTTAAGATTTTCTAGAAGGATAATGGGGGGAAAAAGGGAAAAGACGTTCATGAAGGCACACAGGCGGCAGCTTTCCAGTTCTGGGACTTGAAATTTTGGAGCTGGAGTTCATGCGTTCTGTTTTCTAGGGGGAAAAAATTCTGCTGTGCATGGCCTCTGTGTTGATCATCCCTCTTCTCTCATTGGGGCTGCTTTTTAAAAGTCATTTGCAGAGTCGTCTGGATTTTCTTGCGCACTGGAGATTGCTAGACCTCCCAAGTTTGATACAGGTTGTTCACTTTCTGTGATAGATTTTTAGCGGGTCGTCCATGACGCTCTTTCTATACAAAAGTGAAAAGTCCTTTTCCAGGGTTGCGTAACCTAAATGAAGTGATTTCCCCACCCCTCCGGTACCCTCCACGAAAGCCTAACTTTGCTCTGATTATCAGAAGTTGAGATTCCTTCTGTTGCTTCTTGAAGACACCTGTGATGGTTTTAAGCTACTCACCCAAGCTGCTCTTAATATCCGTGTGATGCTTATACTTTAAGCCTACCTCACTGGCTTAAGAAAAGCACTACACAAGTGAAATTGAATATGGAGTTGTTAACAAGGACTTTCACAGTTTTGACCCACATCTAATACTGGTTTTCTTGCATTAACTAATAATGACCTTTAGGTCACCAAATCAGCCGTTGTAGAAGGAAGCCCTGTGTCTTACTGGCCTTTTTATGGTGGTGTAGGTGTTCTAAAGTTCACCTGTGTGTCATGTTACCTTCTCTAGTGCAGCAGCTGTGTTCTTCTGCTATGCACAGTGTCTGTAAGCCCCCAGGTGTGAGTCTTACATATTCTGGCCCATTGTCAGATGATTGTCTTGAGTTGAGGCCCAGAAAGATAAAAGTGCATAATCCCTCGCCATGCATACAGTAGGTGCTAAATAAATGTGTTGAATTTGGCTCTTTATGGTAACTGAATGATGAACCTTTTCAGTCACTGGAAATTTGTTCCATAAATCCTATTCCAGTATAGGTTTTAAGGTAATGTTAGTATTTCCAGAGGAGGAATCAAATGATAAATAACAACACCACAACCACAAAAATGCTTGTTATTCACAAATGGTACATGTTGATACCACAGCTATACAGATATTTGTATTTAGGCATTTCAGGTAATAGGGCAGAGGTAAATATCAGCATGTTTTTTGGTTTGTTATTTCTTCTTTAACAGGATGAATCCTTTAAAATTAAGTATCAAATATACTCCAGAAATCTAAAAATACATGTTTAGAGAAGATAAACTTCCAGTAATTTAGCAAAATCAAATTATTTTGATTAATTTGAGTTCCTTTGTATTTAAAACACCAAGGTCCAATTTTAGTTCATTAAACAATGTTTCATCTTAAGAATACAGTAAATGTATCACTGAGTGAATTTCAAAAAGAAATTCAGTGGGGCAGTTTTTATATTTTAATAGCATATATAGGAAACATCAGTTCATCAAAATGCTTGGGAGATTGATAATTGCATTTTCAAATTAATTAAGCCTTGCATCCCCTACACCATAGTCTATCCCACATGTATTCTCTGAGCAGTTTGTTGACTGTTAATAAATATTAAATGAAACAAGGAGCCATTGTCAAAATAAGTGTGGGAAATCCTGGCTTAGAGTAAGTTTATGCACAATTTGTCAGAAAACTAAATTTCGTAAAATACACTGGGAATCTCCAAATGGTGTTCAGAGTATGCCCCACTTCCCAAACTTGTTTGGTTATAGAGCCTTTTTATTGAGGTACGTGTTGGACCACGTGTTAGGACATGATTCCTAACATGAGATCCCAATATTCAAAGTACAATAAATACATTGAACAGTAAAATGTAATAAATGTCATTGCTTCTTAATGATTCCAAAGGTACTTCAGGACCTTGGAATATATTAGGCTGGGTCATCTTTATGAACTTATTATTTAAGTGTTACTAAAAACGTTCTGTTTACTCATTTCAGGAGTTACAGTCCATATGGTGACCGATAATGAATGCTGTCTTCAGTTTGAACACTTACAGTTTTGTTTTGTTTTTAATCAGCGTGAGCTTTAACTATAACATTTCAATATTTTCTTGTCAGTCTTTGGATTTATTTGGTTTTCTGTCTCCTTAGCTAGGATTTGAGTTGCCCTTGAAAGATTTGAGCGTGGAGGCAGAGGTGTCAGAGGAGAGCCTAGGCCCCCATTCCGCCTCCTTTTTGCAAGCGCCCCGCACACTGCTATGATCCACCTCCCCTCAGTTTGTCATTAATCAGTCCTGTGAGGGTGGCAGTCACATTGGTTTCGTTCACATTGTCACCCCCACCTTGGGGGCCTTCCACAGACATCTGTCGAACTAGGAATTGTGTGAACCAGGCTGTCGAAGTGGAAAATGCACCCAGCCCATATAAAAGAAATAGAAACCGGTTTTCACTAGAGTGGGGACTGAAGGATTTAGATCTAGTTTTATGGAAATTTCTGGTTGTTGCCCCTTTGGAGCGTTTATACCAGGGAGTAATAGATTTCCACCCCTCTGAATAGAGTAGATCTCCCTTTGCAGATTTAAAGATTAACACAACAGATGACAGATCATTGCACGGCCGCCCACTAACCTGTCCGTCCCCCGGGTTGCTGGCCTCAGCACTGCCAATCGGCTCACACGGACTCTCCGTTCTGTGTCTAGTCAGCTCTGTCCTTCCCTTTTCTTTCACCCAATTTTCTCTGATTTTTCACCACCTTCCCCTTCTTCCTCAAAACCGACCAAACTAACCAGCTTCGTCCCCCCTGAGTTTAGTTGTTTCTTGGTGTTTCTTAGCCATGGAACAAAATTTGTTGCCTGTTCTTAACATACAGAATGCATTAATGAAATTTTTATATTTCCCTTAACTAAAGAAAATTTCTGTTTGTGTCACCTGCGTGATCCACTCCCCCCTCCTCCCCCCCGCGGGTCATTGACTCTTGGTAGATGGTAGAATTATTGAAAGTTTCCTTCTGAAAGTATGGTTGACAAAATGAGACCCAACTTTCTGTTCCTGAAATGAGTGACTGTCATTTATCTCTGTGGCTCAGGGCTGTCTGTCGTCTCCTCATTGTGTCCTTAGGCCATTCGGTGTATAGAATCTTACTGTCTGACTAGGACTGGCTATAAAGGTAATGCTTTTTATCTTTTCTCGAACTCTTATTATATATAAATGATACTCAGCATTTATATTCCAAATTGTTCTAGCATTCTCATTATCACTGTAACTTGAAGTGTGGTGTCGTTCTTAAGATACATGTTTTGAATGTTACAACTCTTATCAGCTCAGACCAACGCTGGGCTCGCCTAGACCCTCCTTGCCCGAGTGAGGGCTGGGATGAGGCCTGTGGTCCCTTCTGGCACAAATGTTCCCTGTGAAGTGGCTCATGACACTGGTTTTTCCCCTTGTACAGGAAGGTTCGTGATGTGAGTCTTGAGTCTACAGGGTGAGGCAGACGTCTCAGAATAACCTAAAATGCCTTAAAGGACAGAATTTTTTTTTTTTTAATTATAATTAAAAATCAAAGAACAGAGGGAGAAGTTGCTTAGGACATGAGTAATCCTTCGGTCTCGTCCAAGGTCAATGGCTTCAGCCTGGTTTCTCAATACCGTGAGGTGGGGTGGGAGGCCCTGGACCCTAGTTGCTGGAGTGTGGACTACTCACATTCACAATACCCAGTGCTCTTTGGATGCTTTTGGTGTTGCGGGCGTCATGCTGCATGTCTTCCCGATGTTATCTCCCGGAATCCTTGCAGTCCCGGGAGATGACCGGTGTCCTTTCCGTTCGCAGATAAGCTCATTGTAGGTTGGAAACTCACCCACGCTGGGACAGTTAGGCCGGGATTCAAACCCATCGCTCCCAGGCCGTTCCCTGTTCTCTCCCTCTCTCCATTACACTTCGCATCCTCTGGCTTCCTGCGAGGCTGCACACGTCCCGGGTCCACCTGGGTTTTGAGCAGGCGGCCGGAATGCACGTTCTCAGGATTTTGTTAAGTCATGACTTGCTGGGGAAATTGACTCAGCCCGACCTTGGGTTCCCGCTTTCGTGCGAGTCGCAGCCACGTTTGGCCCTGCCCGGGTTGACTCCTGAGGTCAGGCTTCGGTGGTGACCTGAGGTGAGGCCGTCTGGTTTGTTCTCTTTGCTCTCCGACAGGGGCTGGCAGGCACCCCCTCGGGAGTCCTTTTCA